TGCCCATCCCAGGCCCTTGCTCTCCCAGCCAGCACCAGCAGAATGCCCCACTGGCCTCTTCCACCTAGAAGGGATTTTTCCCATGTGAAAACCAAGCCCTGGTGTGACGTGGCTTGGAGCAGGAGGTTGGCAGAGCAGAGCTGAGCTTTCCTCCTGGGCTSGGCAGACGGGCAGCCTGGCACACAGGGACCTTTCTGTCCATGCCCACTGCAGATTTCAGCCTGTGCCAAAGACACTCATTTTTATTCATGTATCAGACCTACCCACTTCTCTGGGATAATGCCCAGCAAGCCAGAGCAGCATCTGGAGATTACAATCACACATTTATTTTTAAATTCAGTCCTTCTGCACAACTCCATTATTTCTGGCTGTGCTGTACTTGTATTATTGTAAATGAGTTGATTTGCTTCTGAAATCCATAAGCTCTTGTTTAATTAATGCACACAGTGCATCTGCTGCTTTTTAAAGGGAGAACAGGGCACTGTAGGTTGTTTGGAGCATGACGGATCCAGAGTTCCCCTTGGCTCTCATTTCCTTTGATTGCTGAAAAGATGATACCAAGTTCCCGGCAAAAGGAGAGCAGCTGTCCAAATTTCTCAGTGCTGTGCCTGCTCTGCTCCCTCCCTTCCCCACAAAGTGCTGTGTGGATKACACCAAACCCCTCCTGCACCCATCCTGCCATCGGGATAGCTTTTCCTCTGGTGCCTTTGTTGGCAGCAAAGCTGAGCGTGTTCTAAATGACTTTGCACTTGTCACACACAGCAAACTTGATGCATTTCATGCAATAGCTCATGCAATTGTGGCTCCACCAAAGTTTCCTTGTTCTCAGCTGCGTTTTGGGGCTGAGCAGCTCTTCACTGTGATCTCAGGCAGGMTCCTTTGCATCACAGCAACAGGAACACGCTCCTTTAGCTGTCACTGCTGTAACCTCCCGTTCCTCCCGCTCTGACACCGCTGTTTTGACTTCTCCTGATGTGTGTGTGTCTGGCATAAGTAACTTATCATTCCYTGCCTGGGAACGGGAGAGCAGAGCTGTGTGTGTGCGTGTGGCAGAGGGAACACGGGAACACAGCAGGAGCAGGCRGAGGTTCAGCATCCTTTGGGAACTCTGCTCAGCACAGGAGCTGTCTCTGGGATGATGCGTTATTTGCCTGAGCAGAAAAAAACAAAGTCTGCGTGAAAACTGGTTTTCTTCCCCAAAAATGTGAGCGTTTGCAGCAGCTCCTGGGCTGGCTGGCTGTCCCTGAGGGGTCTGTGAGCAGCAGCTCTGGTGCTGTGGGTGGTTTGGGGATCTCAGCAGTGCTGGGTGTCACTGCTCTCAGAAGTGGAGGGTGTGACAAGTGCTGGTCATCACCCAGGGTTTTGTTTTGAATTTCCATCATTCCACACTCCAGGCCAGTAAACTCTTTATTAAACCCAACTCTTGTGGTATCCATTTCTCCTGCRTGTTTTATAGAACCTGTTCAGATGCTTTTTAAAGTGTTTGCAAACACCCTCTTAAGGCACTGCTGGTGCTGCCTTCAACTCTCTGCTTCTAATTATAATRAGAAAACCCACTGCAGCTGCCACTGGAATCCGTACAACCTGGAGAGCAGGGAATTCACAGCTTTAGTGCTTTTGGGTGGGAGCAGAAGCATCTCAGAAAGCCTTTTRTGAACCAGGTATCAGTGTTACACATCTGTCATTTCACATTCCCAGATCTAGACTGCAAAGAAGCAACTCCCCCTAATGTGGGGGTGGATTCCCAGGATTTTCACCTAAACTGCTTCTTCTTCAGTGTCCAAGGAAAATGTGAATTTAAGTTTCCATGTTAAAACTGTGCATTGCCCTGCACTACACAGAGGTGGAATTTTGCAAACAGATTTGACRCCTGAGAGAGGGAGGAAAAGCTGGGTGTGTTTTATATAACAGCAGCTACCAAGATTTTTGACTCCTTAAGATAAAAAACATCTTGAGGAGATGGTRTGTAAATGAACCCACTTGCAGCTTGGAYTTGTACATTTAAATGRTGCCAGTGCAATGAGGTCATTGTGKTTGATTAGCACAATTCCTTCACTGGAGAGACARAAATTATACCCACTGTCAATCACTAATCCAGGCTTTAATTAAGAAACCACAGTGAGAATACAGTTCTGACTTTATTTTCTGTTCTTGCCCCAGTTTACATTCCAGTGTCCTGAGAAACGACCCCACGTCCAGGCGATCCAGCAGCTCCATGGTGCTGGATGGAGGAAACATTGGGAAGTTTGACTTTGAGATCACCGACTTCTTCCTCTTCGGTTCTCCCTTGGGTCTGGTGCTTGCGCTGCGYAAAACTGTAATTCCAGCTCTTGACAGTAAGTCCTGATGCAAACTGCTCCCTTGGTRGGTGGTGGAAGCACCTCCTGCTGCAATTGCAGGAATCTGGTTAAACCCAAACATTTTTGTATCGTACTTATTGCCCCATAAAGAAGCAGCTTTCTGTGTGCTCCATCCAGCACTGATTATACCAATTGCAAACATGAAAAGTACAGGGCAATTCTTGAGTCTGTAAACATTGTAATGAATTGTTTCAGTTGAGTAAACTGGGAGATGAGGGAGATGATAAATCMTTTGCAATTTTGTAACCTGACAGTCCTTTTTATAGACAGCTATTTGCAATATTCTAACAAGTCATATTTTGATACCTGAGGGTTTTTTTTCTTTGTCTTTTCAGTCTTTCAGCTSAGACCAGCTTGTCAGCAGGTCTATAACCTGTTCCACCCTGCAGACCCATCTGCTTCACGCCTCGAGCCTCTTTTGGAGAGGAAGTTTTACCTTTTGCCCCCCTTCAATATTCCCCGGTACCAGAGGTTCCCRCTGGGCGATGGCAATTCTGCTGTTTTGGGTAAGTCACTCTGGACCCACAGGAGCTGTTTCAGGGGTTARAGCCACATTTTACATGAAGYCATCAAYGMAGTTGGGAATGGTGAGAAAGAGAAYTGGCTCTGTAGTGTTAGCCTTGTTCCTGATTTACCAGAAAAGGAGTTTTCTTCCAATGAAATCAGTGCCTGGTGTTGTTTGGCACACCAGGGCTTCCAGCTGCTGAGGGCCATGAGGTGGTGACCTCTCTGTAAAAGCCTCTGTTTTACACCCAGACTGGTGCTTGAGAGTGAATGAAACACAATTTTGGCAGAATTTAGGACTTGGAGGGCCAGAGAAGACTGGAAGAAGCAGAATCCACAGTGAGATGATGATTTATTTGTTTGAATCCCATTTGTCTAATATTTGAATCATGCAGGAGTAAATKAAGATTATATAACTAGAGCTGGATAATTCTGGTGATCTTTTGCATCATTTTAAAGTTGAAAAATCCAAAGAAAGGGGCCTTTTATGTATCAGAGTYTTTAAAGATTGTAATGGCTGAATCTGGAGGTCTGATTTGTTAAATGGGCACAAACTAAACCCCATGTTTAATGAAGTGAATCAAATGCTTTCTGCAGGCCCCACTCACTTGTCAAATTTAGCCAAGATCTTGCTGCAACACTTTTTAAAAATGGATCCACCCACAGCTGCATTTGTACCCAGGCCAGTTACAACAGCTCAGGGAATCTATAGCAACTTGCAAAGCAATTTGGTTTTTGGGTGTATTCTAGGTATCAGTTGCAAAGAGCTTCTTAAAAAAAAATAGCTAAACATCTTATCTTCTTTCTCTTAAATACATTCCAAAACCCTTGTTCTCACTGAACCCAGAGGCAGAGGCCCCATTGACACTAAACCTGTGTTCTGGTTATCATTCTGGACAGCAGAAGGAATATCAGAGCCTCCTCTGAGTTGGCTGTGTTTGGAGAGACACTTGCTATGCAGTGAAGTTAAACAGCAATTAGCTCTACTGTGAGAAGGGCAGAGTGATTGCAAAACCTTCTCCAGCTCTGAGCTTTGTTACTTTAAGAGATACTGCTCTGCCATGATGAATAAAACTGACAAAAACCACCTTTAAATTCTCTTTTCCTGTAAGACAAAGCCTCTTCATTTGCTTATCAGAAAGTAACAGGCCATTCCTTTCCATTAGAGTCCGTGTTGTGATGGACACATTACCCAGAAGGACAAACCATGATTCACCAGGCTGCTCCTGAAGTTAGTGTTCACTGGAGGGCACTCCAGAAAAGTTAATTGCTGCTATAATAATAAAGCTGGATGTTTTGCTGATCACGTAAAATTCAGGTGCTCAATTATAATTGGCTCTGTAAAAAAACCTTGTGTGACACTGCCTGTGCACATCTCCTCATGCAGATAGCTTTTTTTGGGAGTCCACAATTCAAAAAGCCTTTTAGGCTGTTTTTTTTTTCCCCCATTTTCCCATCTGTACTAAATGCTGGTCCCAGTTTCATTTCAATGAACTTGCAGAGCAGAATCAAACTCACATCCCTGCTTACTCCTGTGCTTTGCACTGTGTAGGCTGTGAGTCTGATTCTCCCCTTAGAGCATATTTTTTCCACTCATAGTAAAAAAGATTTCTCTGGATCTGCTGTGTATTTATGGATTTGGCTTAGGAAGGGGGGTGAAGATGTTTTTGTTGTTGAAATGCCATCGTTGTGTTCTCCTCTGCTCCCAGTTAATCTCTGATGTTGGTCTGTTTGGAAATCACCCCTGTTTTGTTCCTTTTACTCAATTTGAAGGTTGTCTGTTCATTGAAGACTCATAATTAAGTGCTGGGGTGTAATTGTTTGTATGTTTAACACTTTGTGGCCGCATGTCTGTTGTTCTTTGTCCTTCTGTTATGTTTTTTTTTTTTTCCCCATCTGCTTCTAGTTGAGACAATCCAGAACAATCCCATCCTCCTCATGGAAAGTAGCCCTCTGGGTGCTCTCCAGCACCAGGACAGCTTCATGGAAACAAGTATCCCCGTTCCCGTACTGAATTGGCAAGATGTTTCCAATAAAAGTGCTGGTTGTGCTGAGTGTGTGTAATCTACACTTCCGTACTGTCTGTGGTGTTGGGTTCTTGGGGTCCTTTTTTTTTGGAGATCACTTTGTTGCCTCCTGGAGTTGAAATCTTGGTGCTGTTTCTCAGGCTGTGCCACGTGGAATGACCTCTGGGGATCATGTTTGGGTTTGGGAGAGCCACTGTGGGAAAAAAGGGTTGGGATTATAAACCCTGCCCTGTTCTGGTGTTGATGCTAGAAAGGGAGATATTTCCATGCACTGACTGCTTTCCTTCTGTGCTGCTTGAAATTGCTTTTCAAGTTTGGCAGAGACAGAGTGGCCCTGCTGGTGTGGTGCTCACCAAGGGCAGGATCCCTTGGGAAAGGCAGGATCCCCCCAGCAGCCCTGAGTCACCGTGCCCACAAGTCCAGTTGATGYCCATGTCACACCAGATTTTGTCCCTTTGAGTATTTCTTGTTTGGACACTCCTCGTGGCTCTGCTGAACACAGCACCGAGGCTTTCAGACCTCAGGGTGGTTCTGCGTGTGGGTTATTTTAAATTAATTTCTCATCTCCTGCCTTAAAAGCCAAGTTTAATGCATTTGTTTTGCCTTCTCTTCCATCATCAGTGCTGCATGGCCTCGTTTATTCTGGTTGTGGCTGGTACTACATCTGCAATTGTGATGAGACTTGCCTTTGTTTTGGTTTTTCTCTTTCCCTCGTGTCTCACTTGCCTGTTCTCATCCCTTTCTCGGTGTCTTGCATTGAGAGCTGGGTTCTGCTGTCTTTAACAAGCTGCCCCTCACTGTCCCCAAGCAGTTTGGGCTCTTATGTGCTCATACATCGCCGAATTTTCCGGGCATTCTCTCTCCTGAAAGTGGAGATGATTTTCAGGTGTGCAGTTGCCGCGTTTCCTGTGCTGTGAGGTTTTGTGATAAAGCAGAGGGAAGGATCTGGAACTGTTCATTGATCACTTTGGAGCACAGAGCTTGTGGAAGCATCCTTTGCCCATGGCAGGAGGCTGGAATTAGATGATCTTTAGGGTYCYTTCCAACCCCAACCATTATAGGATTCTGTGATTCTCTGGTTTTCACATTGGGTGAAAAGCACAGTGTGTCCAAGCAGTTCTTGATGTGCCTGTAGCAAGTGCTGAATCCCAGTTCAGCCACTGGACTGGAGGAGATTTCCAAAATCACAAAACAACAGAAATTCATTCCTCTTGATCTCAGGGTAGYGACTGCAGAGTGCCCAGCACTGACCAGTGGCTCCAGTGCAAGCAGGGCCTGGCCCGTGCTGAGCAGCTGGCTGGCTTTTCTGTGTTTTTTAATCTTTTTGCTTTTATTGAACTGTACATCTTTTTTGATTGCTTTCAGTATTTCCCACTTTGGTGCAATAGCTCAGTCTCCAMATAGCAAATCTCAAAATCTGTCATTCAGGTACCCCAAGGACTTACCTTGAGAGGACAGCTCAGGGCTGTTCACTTACAAGGGCATTGACAAATGAGTGAAAAATGAAAGAGCACAGCACCAAAATGAGTATTAAAGATTCATAGGTAGGCTTAAAAAAAAAAAAATGTGATTTGTCTTCCCTGCTTTGCAAGTGCAGTCAAAGCTTGGGTCATGGCATGGGTTGTGCCATGTGGTTCCTGCTGGGAGGGTGCTCTGGGCACTGCTCCAGTTGGGTTTCTCTTCCTCATCCTGGCCCTGAGTCACAGCACAAAGTGCAGTGAACAGGACACCTCTGTCCTCACCGAGGGACAGAGCAGCAGCTAATCCTGCTAAAGGGCTTGCTGCTGCTGGACCTGCTGGCTTCACTCTGGGCTTGCCTGGAAACCCTCCCCGTGGCCAGCAGGACCTGAGCTGTGCCTGGGGATGAGCCCAGGAGCCAGCATGGCAGCATCTGTGACATCCCAGCCTGCTCACCACACTCCCCAAGAAAACCCCCTTGGTTTCAAAGCCACTGCACGAGGGACTTGGTGCAGAGAATACACAAATTTAGGAAATAGGTTGCTAGGTTTTTGGTTTTTTCTGCAAGGCAGGTCTCAGGATTTTCTTTGGAAGTTGCTGTCGCTGCAGCTTTGGTGTGGAGGAAGCTTTTCTGAGGGGGTTGTAATGCATAAAACAGTGTTTTCTCCACATTTCCTGCTCTGCCCTTCATTTTTCTTAGTAACTGCCCTTTCTCAGGGTCAGAGGGTGTGTAGCTTGGGAAAAGAGAGAAGCACAAGAGCAAGGGCAGGAGCAGGGCAGCGCTGCTGTCAGGTGGCACCTCATCCCCTGCAGAGCAGACTCCAGAGGCAGTGCTGAACTGAACATTTCAGTAATGCTAAAACACCTCAGGATTCTACAGGAGTGGGAATTGTTCTGCTGATTTTAATCAGGATGGGGCTGGAAGGGCTGTTGAGTTGGGTGCTTTTGCTGCAAACTCATTATGTTCCAAAATCCCTGGTCAGGCCCAGGAAAACGAGATTGGCTAAAAAAGGACAAGGTCAAAATCCCACTGTTTATTCCTTTATTCACTTTCTGGGTTCTCAAAAAAGGAGATGAAGTTCAGGCAGAGCTAAGTGAGGATGGACTAATGGAGTCAAAGCTGTGGCCACCCCAGGCAGGAGCTTTTCCTCCTGGAACTCTCTTGAGTGTGTCTTCCTAATTCAAGCCACGGGCATTTTAGCATAAGGGAGAGGAAGAAATTCAGGTTTCTCTGGTGGTTAAACCAAAATCTGGTGTTTTTCCTGTCACAGACAAAGCCAAACCTCCACTGGCATCTGAGGAGGTTCAGCACCCATTTGGTGACACAAGAGCAGGAGCACAGGAGGATCTCACAGGAAAGAGAAAGGACAGGGAGGGGTGGCCAGGGAGGAGAGGATTGTTCCAGGTCCCCCAGCAAAAGGAATGAGATCCTTTGCCCGTGAGACCTTTGTGGGGTTCAGTGCAGCTCCTGTTCTCCACTTGGATTCCTATTCTTGCTCTTTCAGGTGCTTTATACAGTCAGAAAGCAGCACTGGCCCGGTGTGACCAGCTGGGCTGTGGCTACTGGTCACAACCTTGACCACCAACAGCTCGAGGCAGGGTGACAGGAGGGGGAAATGCTGAGAAAATGATGCTGCTGRTGGCCTTTCAGGCACAACGTGGGCTTTGTGTGCAGCTCATCAGCAGGTCAGGCTCCCGCTAAGGCTCAGATCTCACAGTCCACAGAGCTTTTACACAGAGCAGCTTGTGGCCTGATTTTCCCTGCAGAGAGCAGAACTCTGTTACTGACACTTAGGCACACATTTTCTGCTTCATACGTTCCCTCTCCCTCGGCTGCAGGAGGATTTGTGTGGGCACAGACGCTACTGAGAGATTGGAGGGAGAAAATCAGTGGCCCCAAGCAAAAAAAAAAGACTGATATTAAAATAAACCAGTTGCCAAAACAACGCCCTGTGTCAGCTGTGTGCTGGGATTAAATCCAGGGATATCTAAGCAGGCTGGAATAGGTGGAGAATGTTGGTGTGTGGGAGCAAGGTGTGAGTAAAGTAACTCATGTTCCTTGTGGTATCTCCTGTCTGATAGCCAGGAATAAATCCAGGTGCTGCTCCTCAAGTGCAGCAGAGATGGGCAACCCTAAAACCATAAAGAATTGCTTTGCTTTTGCATGTTACTGCCACCCTGGTGCTGCCTGCTGTGAGCACCTGGTGTTGGCATCACAAACCTCTGCCCTGCAGGAGAGTGGGATATCCCACTGAATTTGGCCTCGTGGCATCCACAGAGGGTGGATGGCCCTGGCATTGTGACAGAGAGAAAGCTGAAATGCAGAGGTTTTAGCGTGACTTTCAGCATCTCTCATTTTGCCACTCCTGAGTGTTTGAGGTCCTTTTCCCTCCCATCTGTGTATAAGGTCTGTGTGAGCATGATTTTAAACCCTCCTTTTTGTATTTATGTACTAWGGGGTTTGGCCTAACTTGGTAAACTTCAGGTTGGGATTTAAAACTCCAGACCTGCATGTTKTACCAAAAATCTCTATTTTCATGGAGTCTGAGTGCTCCCTGATATGCTGACTGATGGGAGATAAGGGTGCTCAGCACCAGACTCCCTTCAGTAGCCCTTACTTATTTTATCCTTCAGCAATGAAATACAAGCCCAAATTTAGYCCCTGCCAGGCATGAAGATGTTTTCTTGATTTTTGTTTTTTAATAATGCTTCTATCTTAGAGACATTCATTTAAATTTAAATACCTCAAGAAAACAAATACCCCTTTCTAAGGTTGGTTTTTTTTTTTGTTGTTTTCCTTACCTTGGTTATTTTGTCTCGATGTGAATATATAAAATTGTGTATACTCACATCTRTATGTATGACACATGCTTGTTATTGCTGCTTGAATAAGTCTGCCTGGATTTTTCTTTGGATCTGTTTTTTGAGCTCCTTACTTTGCTTTTCTCAATCAAAGACTGCTCCTCCAGCCACATGTCTGCCTGCTGTGCTGTTTGCTTTCTTTTCAAACCAGAGCTTCAATAAATGTGGGGTGTTTTTGTTTCATTCCAATCAGTTCTGAAAAGTTTTTTGCACCTACCAGCTTTGTTTGCCACCTTCCTCCCCCCYACCCCGAGTTCATCTTGCCCAGCCTCTGTCTGTTTGGTCTAATATTTTGATTTCCCTGTTTCAACTTTGTAGCAGATGTTGTTCAGTCTCATGGTGCCGTCTTCGTGGAAAACGCGTCCCTGTCCACCCCCATTTCAGCCCCTCAGTTCAGGGGCTTCCGGAGAGCCAGTGAGATCAGCATTGCCAGCCAGGTCTCAGGAATGGCAGACAGTTTCACTGCTTCCAACATAGCCAACAGTAAGTGTTGCACCCTGCGAGGCTCCACCGCTGCCGCTCCGCTCTCAGACCACGCTCGGGCCGAGCAGCTTCTGTCCATCCGTCTGTCCGGGGGGTGCTTCCCATCCATAACCTTCCAAAAGCTTGGAATTAACTCTGCCTTCACCCAGTTTGGCATAGCCAGTGCYATGTGCTGCCATATCCCCTGGAAGAACAGGGGATGGATTCCATGGCCATGCAGGGATCGCGGCTGTGTTGTGTGTGTTGGACCTTGCTGGTGAGAAATGGTTGAAAAAAGGATAATAATTGCTAAYTCTGAGCACCATCTGTGTGTGGTGAGGGTTAACCCACAGGGAGGTTTCTGTGCTGCCATGGTAAGTCATGCAGAGCTGGTTGGGATCAGCCCTTGATGCCAGATGGGTGATGCAGGATGTGGCTCAGTGCAGATCCCTCAAATGTGGCCCACAAAGCCAGGATGAATAAACCCCTCTGTAATGCTAAAAGGTGAGGACAGGTTGGTTCTGAGCACAACATTTATTACTTTGCATTAGAAATTCAGCTCTTCTGCAGTCTTCAGGACAGTCCCAGTCAGTTATGACCCATTTCCCAGAGCTGAATGAGGAAAAAAAGGGATTTTTTATTTATTATTTTTCCCAAGACCTGCCTAACTTCCTGACTACTACAGTGGAGAAGAATAGACTTTGTAAGTGGAGAATAACAGACTTTGTTAATGGCTCAGCCCCTTCTTTGTTTCAGCTGAGGTGTGAGATAAACACTCTGTTCTCATGGACCTCTGATAGCTCAGACCAAAAAAAGGCTGAAAATACAAATTTAAAAAAAAAATTAAAACAAAAAATGCTGAAAAAATTTTCAGCCCAAACTCTRTTCCCAGAAGGTGTCAAAAATTTAGAGATACATTCCTGGCACGAGCTGTGAATTACTCACTCCGTAATTAATTGCTGAGGTTAATAATGCTCCTGGAGGCAGGTATGAGTTGTTGAAGGTCTGTGGGCGCTGCTCAGGGGCTGCTGTAACCTCCTGCCCTGTTTGAGGCAACACTCAGCAGCAGCACTAAAATACCTTCTCTGACAAACGAGGTTTTCCTGCTCCAAGTGCATCCGAGAGCCGACACCGCACTCCCCGTGTGCATCTTTYCACTTTCCTGAGTCTCACCAAGCCCTGCTAAATAGGAATCTGCTTGGGAGGCAGCTCCTGGGGGAGAAGGTGTTTGTTTTGTGCTGGTTTCCCACCCACAGGGAGCTGCTGGCTGGGACATGGTGCTGCTTTTTGGGGAGGTGTTTGTGCCAGGGTGATGCCCCAAGGCTGGTGTGTCCCATGGAGGGATTTTGTCCCRAGCTGCTGCAGGGTTGGATCACACAACACTCACTCTGCTTTCCCCATGCTCCCCCACATTGTGCAGCTTCTGCTTTGTGTAATTGAATCCTCCACAGAGCCAYCAAGGCCTGTTCCTGAATCAGGGAGGAAGAGCCCCATGTGCTGTCCCAGCTCCTTCCCTGGACTCCGAGTGTCCCCCGAGCTCCAGCTCTGCCCTTGCAGCTCTTGCTCTCATCCTCYTTGGTGCGGTGGTAACGTGGAGCTGTGGCACTGAGGGTTGGATGTGATCCATGTTTATCCCCAGGGAGAGCTGAAGAGGCACCACAAAACCACGGCTCCCTCCCCAGAGCCTCCCTGGGGTGCAGCTCCCCTGGTACCATGAGTTGGTGGAGGATGAAATCAGTGCCATAATAATAAGTGTGATTTCTGCTTTTTTTTTTTTTTTTATATATTTTWTTTTTCCTTTTAGAAACCAAACACCACCCTAATCATTGTAGGGGGTTTAGCCTTCTGTCCCAACTTGCCCTCCCTCACAAATCCCCCACCCAAAGCTCGTTCAGGAGGCGTAGGCAGCATAAACACCAAATCCCTGCCAAGGGAAGGAAGCTCAAAGGGCCACGGAGCCGGGCTGCAGGCTGTGCTCTTCGGATACCAGACCTGGACATCAAGACAGGTATTCTGGAGAGATCCACTCCTGACCATCTCCTCTCTCATTCCATAGTCACAGAACTTCACAACAAATCTCTGCGCTTTCACTGAGGCACTYGCAGTTTCTGATTGCATCTTAACAAGTATTTCTGTCACTTTGCCTCGAAGATSGATCGTAACACCGCTAACAACTTGGCAGGAGCAGGAATTGTGGGCAGAGCTGAGGGGACAACGCTTCTGCCTCCTTTCGAGCATGGAAGAGCCAGTCCTGTCTGCTTCCTTAAAGAATCTGAAATCACCCAAGCTGGGAGCTTGCATGAGGAATGGAAGGTTGGGACTTGAGCTGGAGCTGTCAGTTTGGAAGGCAGGGAGTCAGAAATGGCTGCGAGGAGGTGCCTGTGTTCTCTGGAAAAACAATATTGGTCTCTCAAACCCTCCTCCTTCTTCCCATGGCTCAGAAAAGTGGGGACYATCAGGATGGGGTGGCTTGGGCACTTGGCACAGCCAGGGCTGTGGGGTTGTRCTGAATCCATATTCCTCTGCACCTTGCAGGTGTCTGGAAGGAGCTGGTGGATCCATCTTTTGAGTTCAGCATCTGTGCTCATCACCAGMCAGATTTCCCTTAGCAGAGGGGTGTGTGCATTGTACCTTAAACCTGGCAGCTTTCCTGGAAGTCCTTAAAAAGGGAACATTGTCACWGAGACAAAGCGAGCTTGAGGAAGCCCTTGTCAAAGCCCAGCTTGCATCCTGCATGCAAACACAAACAAAATTCTTCTGCTGCTCTCTTGATCTCCATCTTCTCTTTCCTTGGCTGCATTTCTGGGCAGAATGCACAGGCACTGAGGAGTCTTTGCTGCTGGGAAAGCAGCCCATGGCTTTGGGGTCTGAGGCTTTGGACTGAGAGCTGCTCATTTCCAAGGATTGGGACAGGATGTGCGTTCAGGACAGTTGAGGTGTGGGGGTGTCCYGGGGTGAGGGGTGGCTCTCAGGCTCCTGTGTGAGTTGTTGGCTCCCTGAGGGACAAACTTGTCTGTATTATTTGTATCCCTGCTCCCCACAAAATCCCAGTGTATTTTTCATTCCCCATGCAAAGAAGTCCCCAAATTCTCAGGTGTCCAGCACAGAGTCTGTGCCTGTGGGAAGGCTGGGCCGGACATCTCGCTTGCCCAGGAGGGCAGTAAGGATTTGTTGGGGACTACCAGTCCCATCAGCACGTGCCATATTCCCTGCCTTGTGGTGCCTTTTAGCATTCTGTGTGGATTCCCAGTTTCCAGTGCTCTTTAGTGGCCAATTCCTGGGTGCAGTTCCTTGGTGAAAGCTGAAGGAGTTGGAAGCAGGGCCGGAGTCGGGCTGAGCACACCCATCCTTCCTCCCACAGCTCCAGGGAGATGCGTTGCTGTCTGTTTTGGCTCTTTGCACAGGAGCCTTGGGCTCTTCCCTGGGGTCTGGACTAACTGCCATTAACCTGCCCTCCAGTGCCTTCCTCTCTGCTTAAACAGGGAGAGCTCAGTGCTGGTGCCCGGGTGTGAGCAAACCCCGAGCCCTGGCTGGGTTGTTCCCCCGAGCAGCGGGACCAGCCAGGAGCAGCCTCCTGGAGGAGCCAGAGCCCCGAAAATGCCATTTGGGAGCCCATTTGTCTGAACGAGTGCTTTGCYTCTGTAGTTGCTGCCAAGTGGTGGGGAACCAAGCGGATTGACTACGCCCTGTACTGCCCCGATGCCCTGACAGCCTTCCCGACCGTGGCGCTGCCTCACCTCTTCCACGCCAGCTACTGGGAGTCCACGGACGTTGTCTCCTTCCTGCTCAGACAGGTACAATCATCCTCCCTCCCTCATCTCCCTTAGGCTTGAAAACATTTGGGTTGTTTTTTCCAGTGTGCCTTCCATAAGACTTGTTGTTGCATCGAAATGAAAAACACCCTTTGCCCGCACAGATCCATTTTGTTGCCCTTGCTGTTGTTTCTCAGCTCTGGTGTTGGTGGAGCTGCACACATGAAAACTTCATGGATGTGCTGTCACAGYTGCTTGGTTTGGGGCTGGGTTTATCATCAGAGCAGGTTTCAGATGGGCTCACCAGGGTCACAGAGCTCAGGGCAGTTTCCTATCAGGTCACAGTGGCAAAGGTCAGTGACACCTGTTTCTTGAAGTGATCTGTGCTCTGTGTGTGCCAGGCTGGATCTCAAAGCTGAAAATGAAACTTCTCGAAGTACAAATAAAAACAGCACCCCAGATATAATAAAACCAGAGAAGTTTAATATGAATTCAACACGAATTGATAGGCAGAATGCACTTCTCCATTTTGCCTTKCTAAGTTACTGTTGTCTCCTCTAGGAATTCATTGGGATTTAGTCCTCGTTCCTTCAGCACAAAGAGGTTCTAGGGCCAGGAGAATGGGGATTGCTGCTGTCTGACACCTCCGATTTTATCAACCTATATTTGGGCTGAGATTCAAATTTATTCTCTAAAATTTGTTTTTCCCTAAAAGAAATATTTTCCCTTCAGTTCCGTGGGGATGAGGGGGAGTTATTTGCYTTACAAAATATGAATTCCCCAGGGAACGACACTTAGAGCATGGAGTTGGAAAAAACAAAACTCAAAGCAACTCTGTGGTTTGTGTTGCCCAYTTCGGCGCCGGGTTTGCTTTATGTGAGCTCAGCTGCTAAACCCTCCTGGTTCTCCTCCAGCCTCCTCCACTGCAGCTCTCAATTATTTATGATTTTGTTGGCAAACTTTCTCAGTGTTATCTTCTAAATAGTGCGAGAACCATAAACAAGAGYGGTGTTAGYGCCGGTGGCAGCTGAGCACRGTGATAATCCAGGGAGACCCTTCTMTTCCYRGGCTGTTCCAGCTCCTGGCTCAGTGATCCCACATCAAACTCACCTACCAGGGCTGGAAAGAAGAGAGAACTCTCATTGTGCACGAGGGRGAACAGTCACAACAGTCTCACACTCGGGAAATAGCCACTTCCTCAGGGTTCAGCCCAAACCTGGCTCTGTAGCACTGTGTGGGGTTTCAAACCTTGAGTAGCTGGAGGTACTSCATCCATTCTAAACCTGCTGGGGCTGCTGGGGTAGTCTGGCACCCCATTGCCCAGTGCCTGTCTCTGTTCACTCCTCTTTGCCTTAAAACCAGGGTTTTTCTCATCCTTTGTCTTCTCCTTTGTCCTTCCCCAGCACCACACAATTGCTTCCCCTAATAAGGATTTGTTTCTAATGGCCTTTGAAAGTTATCTYTGGACAAAATGTAAAAAGAAGCTGTTGAATAGTTTTAGCCTCCAAAGACTAAATCTTGTTAAAACAAACCCAAATAGGATTCAAAATACATTCCTGATTTAAATAATTTTCTGTAAAACTTGTTATTTTGTTTACATTGGATTTCCATGAGCTCCCGCCCCAGCAAGCTCATCCTCCCTGGGGTCCTTTTTCCATTTCACTGGATGAAAACCAGCTTCAGCTCAGCMAAGAGAGCTGGCCCATGTCAGCCGAGCTCAGCTGGAGAGCTGCTGACCTCACAGAATATGTTCAAGACCTTGTAAAAGAGCCCACATTTAGGAGGCTTCCTAATTTTTGGTGACTAAGGTCTGTTGCCAGTTTTGGAGTTCTGTGTGCAGCGTCACCTCCCAGTCCTGCAGTCCTGTGAGTGTTTGAGGAGTCCCCCAGCCTTTGGGTGTTTTTCTGCCTTTTCCCTTCTAGAGCTTAAGAGCAACCTCGGTGGGATTTAAGCCTCCTTTCTGTGGGTTCCTGCTTCCCATCCTGCTGTGTTTGAGTCAGTTTTGTACCTCCTGACAATCTAAAAACCTTGCCATGGTTAAGTCAGTGCTGGCCAGTGCAGAAAAGGCCACTGGTCCTGTAAATGCTGCAAGTGGACAAGCCAAAGGTGCAGCAGTGAACTCAGGGGCCTCTCTGCAGGCATTGCCCATCCTCTGCTGGCTCAGAGATGCACAACAGCCAGGCAGGAGGAGGAGGAGGGTGCCTCAGTGGGATCTGTCCTCCTGCAGGTGATGAGACACGAGAACTCGAGYGTTTTGGAGCTGGATGGGAAGGAGGTGTCAGTGTTCACCCCCTCCAAGCCCCGGGAGAAGTGGCTCCGCAAGAGGACCAACGTGAAGCTCCGGGTAAGGGGATTTAGGGGCTGCACAAACTGCTCTGAGGGCGGCTGGCAGGGCACAGCCTGAGGGTTCTGTTGCATTGCTGCTCTGTTTTAGTGGTTATGTCCTACCTGGGTTGTAAAATGGTTATGTCCTACCCAAAAGATGTGTGTCAGCAAGGTCTCCTCTTAGCCTTGAGTCTGTAAAAAGCAGGAAGCGTTGGCCATGGGTCAGGGAACGAGTCAGAACGGAACGTCTTTCCAAGTCCAATAATACCAATTCTCAGCTCAGTAAATGCCCTTTGCTCCCAGTAAAGTCTCCAGTTTCTGAGAGAGCAATTCTGTGCTAGAACTGGAACAATATCAGCAGATTTCTCTGGCAGCTGTTTGTATTTCCTCTTAATTCCAAAGTGGGAGAGTTAATAGAGAGTAGCAGAATTGCACGTACAACCTGCCATGGAAATTGGCTCTGCAGAGCTCCAGTCCAGCCTTCAGTGCAGGGCACAGAGCCTCACCTCTGCCACAGGTCACACTCTTCCCAGAGCTAAGGGTGGAGGGGAGGAACAGCACAGAGGAACCCATGCTCCAGTTTGTCCGGTTATATTTGGCATTTCCCTGGGAGGTTATCCATTGCTGCAAACTGTTTATTTTTTTTTTCCTTTTCCCTTCTTGCCTCGTGCAGAATGTCACAGCCAACCACAGGATCAACGACACCATTGCTAACGAAGATGGGCCCCAGACCTTAACTGGGAGGTTCATGTATGGTCCCTTAGACATGGTCACCCTCACGGGAGAGAAGGTACTGTGTGTGCTGGGGGTTGTCACCGTGTGAGAACTGTGGGACAGAGGAACAGAGGTGGTGCTGTCAATGCTCCTCCCTTGGTCCCTGCTCGTGGGTGCCTCCCACATTAATAGGATTTGTCCTGGAGGGCCTGGTTTCACTGCAGCCCCCGATGTTTGGGTGTTCCCAGCTCAGATCCATGAAGCACAGAGAGTGGGGCAGGACCCAAAGGGGCTCAGTGGGATGTCCTTGGTGTGGATGTTCTTGGTGGGATGTTCTTGGTGTGTCCCTCTGGGTGACGCAGCCTCGCTGTTCCAGGTGGACATCCACATCATGACGCAGCCACCATCGGGGGAGTGGGTGTACTTCGACACGGAGATCAGCAACAGCAGTGGCAGGATTTCCTACGAGATCCCCGAGGAGCGGCGCCTCGGCATCGGCGTCTACCCCGTCAAGATGGTGGTCAGGTGAGGGCCTGGTGCTCACAGGGGAGCACAGGAGGAATGGGGCGACTGTAAAACGTGGTGGGTTGGGTTCAGAGCCTGGGGTGACTGTAGAACATGGTCGTTGGGTTCAGAGCCACTTGGAATCTGCAGCTCTAAGGGGAAAATCCACATGTCATTCTGCATCACCGCTGCAGGAGCAGGTTTTCTGCACCACAAGGCCTCATGGCCGTCTGCAAAACTGCACGAGTGAGCATGTTTTAAAGGCCATGAACCTGTCTTTGAGGGACAGGACTCTGCAGTTGTGGTGATTCACAGCCCAGGGGCTTCAGCTCAGCTCCACTTGCTGGTGTTGGGCTCTGGGAGCAGGAGGGGAGCATCTTCTCGGTGGTGAACCCAGCMAGGGTTTTGTGGGGGTAACTTTTGAGTCTCTGCCAAGGCCCCAGAGTGCTTTTCTATCCCCATTYTAACACAGAGACCCTCACACAATGCCTGTTACTGCCCTGAGGGTGGCAATGTTGGAGCCTTTGGGTCAGATTTGGGAGCTGCTTTTGGCTCATGGTGCTCTGCAGGACTCGGTGATGCTTTCTGGATGTTTTGATGCCTCTAAGCACCTTCATCCCTTCCCTCAGGGGTGACCACACGTTTGCTGACAGCTACATCACGGTGCTGCCCAAGGGGACGGAGTTTGTGGTGTTCAGCATCGACGGCTCCTTCGCAGCCAGCGTSTCCATCATGGGCAGCGACCCCAAAGTCCGCGCCGGGGCCGTGGACGTTGTAAGGTCAGGGCAGAGCTGGGGCACTGGGTCTGTCTGGGGCACTGGCCTTGCTCTGCAATGCACTGACTCGTGCCTTTCCTTGCAGGCACTGGCAAGACCTCGGCTACCTCATAATCTATGTCACGGGCCGCCCTGACATGCAGAAGCAGAGGGTGGTGGCGTGGTTAGCACAGCACAACTTCCCCCACGGGATCGTGTCCTTCTGCGATGGGCTCGTTCACGACCCGCTGCGGCACAAGGCCAACTTCCTGAAATCCCTCATCACCGACGTAAGCCCGGCTCTGCTGGAATGGGATCGTGGCACAGCTTTAGATTGCTCCTCGTGCAATCTCCCCTGTCAGCACCAGTCTTCTTGGCAGCAATGTGACCTGCAGGGGAAGATTAATCTGTTCATTTTATTTTCATCCTTTTATTGCTCTACAAAAGTGTCTGTGCTGTTAAATTGTGTTGCCTCTGCTCAGCACTGCTCCATTTCATCACTGCTCCTCCCAGCACCAAAGCCCTAATGGAACAGAGGCAGCAGAGCCTCCCTTCCCCACACATGCACTTTTTTACCCTGTTTGGTGGCTTTTTGGCTGCCTGTGGTGCAGACAGCAGGACTGAGAGGGGATGGAGCTGCTGCAGAAATGGCCTTGGGTCAGARATTCCCTTTCCATGTCCCTGACCTGTGGTTCTGGGCTCAAAGCTGGCCTGTCTGTGGTTCTGGGTGCAAAGCTGGCACGAGTGTCCACATGTCCCCTGCCAGCCCCTCCTGCAGACCAGAACAGAAAGGGCTGTCCAGGAGCTGCTCTGTGCTCACACTGGAGGCAGAGGAATCCCTGGAAAGCAGCAGATTTTGCTGCCTGCCCCTCTCCCTCTGCCCAGCTGGGCTGTGGAGGGSAACATTCCCAGCTGATGATTCCTGCAGGGGGATGCAGCTCCTCTCCCCCAGGCAGTGAATTGTGCAGAATCCTTGTCCCTGCAGAGCTCAGGGGTAAGCTGTGGATCAGCCAGTGGAGATCTGCTCTTGGATTGCCGTCACTCCTCTTGTTGTGGCCTGTGAACCTTCCCAGCTCTGTTAATTAGCACTTCACTGGGYGCTTCATTATCCAGCTGGGAACTTAGATTAGTTCCAGTGACCTGAGATCCCCACAGAGGCTGTTGGGGAGCCCAAAGCCCGGCCTGTTGAGCAGCACAGGGTGCCTGTGTGTCCTGACCACRTGTTGCTCCCTCTGTCCCCAGCTCCACATGCGGATCCACGCGGCGTACGGATCCACCAAGGACATCTCTGTGTACAGCTCCATCAGCCTCCCGCCCACRCACATCTACATCGTTGGCAGACCCACCAAGAAGCTGCAGAGCCAGTGTCAGGTAGGAGCCATCTTGTTTGAGCCCTGGAGGTGTCCCTGTGGGAGGGAAGGTGGGAATTTGGCCATCMCAGGACTGGTGGCTGAGCTGGTGCTGGCCCACGGGGTGGGAGCTGTCCCAGGTAGCAGAGCCACATCGTGTCTGAGCGGTGCCACGGCTGTCACCCCACAAAACCCGGCAGAGTGAACAAACCTGGCTGCCAGTGGCTCTCAGGGATTGGTGTCATACCCCTCTAACCCCTGCCCTCACCCCACAGTTCATCACGGAGGGCTACGCTGCCCACCTGGCCCAGCTGGAGTACAACCACCGCGCGCGCCCCGCCAAGAACACCACGCGCATGGCGCTGCGCAAGGGCAGCTTCGGGCTGCCCAGCCAGGCCGAGTTCCTGCGCAAGAGGAACCACCTGCTGAGGACCATCTCGTCCCGTTCCGAGCGCACCCAGAGCCAGTCGGACAGCGACAAGGACAGGGACAGGGAGCGCAGCCAGAGGAGCATGAGCATCGCCACGGGCTGCTGGGGCCGCAGCGCCGCCTCCCGCCTCGAGTCCGGCCTCTTGGGGCAGAAATAGCCGGGCYGGAGCCGGGATTGTCAGCTGCAGCCACCGGAGGAGAAAACAAAAGGGAAGAGGGACGAGGCCGGCGTTTCGGGCTGGAAGGGTAAATATGGTGCTACTCTAATAAAATGGTATTCTGGGAAGAGACAGGATGTTTGCCACGCAGAACGCGCAGGCCTTGCAGCGAGAGCGTCAGGTTTGTGCAGCGTGAGCCCAAGGAACGGCTGGAAATCGGGGGGGACGYCTCCAGAGGAAGATGGAGCTCTCTCCTGCCTCCTTCTCTTATCCAGGGTCCGTGACTGTAAATACGTGCCTCCTCGCCTTGTCAGCCATCGCTCCGATCCGGTGACCGAGCGCTGTCCTCAGAGCCACAGCAGGGCATGAGGCTGGGGGAACTTGTTCTGGGCTGTCCTGGGAGTCAGGGGGGCTCTGCCAGCACAGGGGATCGGGGTTGGGTCACTCRCTGCTCCCCCAGCCCCGAGTGAGGGATTTGTCGTGGGCTGTGCCAGGCAGAGCACCGAGAGCTTTACCTGCACAGAGAGCTCCGAGTGCAGCCGCGTTCTCGAGGAGTTGGTGCAGGGCAAAGCTGAAGCTGTGTCGATGCCCTTGGCAGAGGCAGAATGTCGGCAGATCCGTGCCCAAGACAGCGGGGTCCTTATTGTTRTTACTGTTATTTTTTAAAGAGACCTTTTAGAAGCCGATGGAATTTAATGTGTTGATCTATTAAAGAGGAATACAAGCTATTTTGTTTGAGCTGTTACAAACCTCAGACACTTAATTTGCTGTTAAAGTCTCCAAATAGTCCTGCTATGTATTATTTCCAACAAGTAACCACCATATATTTGGGAGCAGCTGAAGGCACTCAGCAGCTGGATTGCATTGCAGTTCTACTCATCCAAATGCAGGGTCTGACTCTCTCAACACCCACCTCTGAGACTTCTTTTCTTCCCAGGTTCTCTCCAAGTTCAGTAGCAGCTTTCATGGGAACTAGACTTGCTTCTTTTACCTGTAGTTACTGAACTGTAAAACCTCATTGTTTTTTGCACTGATGATTTTTAGAATGGAAACCTGTTACCATCTCATGTAGCTACACCGGTGTTTGTAGTGCATGAAAATGAAATATTGCTAAGCCAGGGTGTGTGTGTGTATCTATACATATATGCACACACACACATATATATATGTACATAGTTAAAAAAACAAACAATCTGTGCAGAAGTTTTTCCAGCAGTAAGGAGACTGTAAGGAAGTGTGCCAACAATGTCAGGCAACCTTAAGAAAAGGCCATATCTTAATTTTTCTGGTGTGTTCCTCAGTGGATGTGCCTGAGGCGCTGGGTTTGTGCTGCTGGGCGAGCCGGCGGGCGCGTGGCAGAGGGGCTGGCACCCCGGTGACACCCAGACAGGGACAGGGAACAGTGCCTGGAGCCAGGGCTTGCCAAAAAGCCCCTCAGTCCTGTCCCTCTGGGGCCAGCGAAGGTTCCCTCCTTGCACACACCCCTGGGGTGGAGGGGCATCCACAGGGGAGGTTCTGGGGTGCCCATTCACAGACTCCAGTTGGCCTCTTCACATGGAGATTTTATAGTCCTACCGAGCTCCTCGACTGTGTGTAACCCCGCTTTCCCCACCACACCTTCCCGTCTTTGTATCACTTTCTACTTCTGAGGATCTTATTTCTAACAGAGAATTTTTTAGACTGGCTGCTTCATTTTGTTACCTGTTTCAATAAGAACGGTGCAGGAGGGCCGCACTGAGATACACAGCACTGTGAACGCTGCTCTGCTCACTGCCTCTGGGCCACGTTAGGCAAACCCAACTCATCCAGCTCCTGTGTTTGTGGTGTGGAGGGTCCAAGCCGAGGCAGAGCAGGGACAGTGCCAGCTGCCACCGGCACCCGAGCCCCTGGAGCGCTCACACCCGACTGCAAAATGTTGAACCACTTCTCTTTGGTAATTATCCAATTACAGAATGTACCTGATGGCTTCTTGTTACCAAAAACTGACTTCCCTTTCTGCTGACTCAGCTTGGTTCTCTCTGAATGTACATCCAGAGCTTTTACTGGGTTTGAAAACAATGTGAATTTGTCCCAGCTTTTTGCTAGCCCAATGTTCTATCAAACAGATGCCATCTGAGTAGGAAGCCAAGCCACAATCCATCCTGTGAAGTCACCAAACCACATCACTAAATAATTTCTGCAAATTTGGATATGGCCTTCGCAAAATTCACCTTTCCTCAAAACCAAGGCATGATCTGTACATTTTCCTGTGTTGACGAGATGTTCACATTTTCTTACGTGTAGATAGTGTAAAACAGAGGCGAATGTAAATGTTCAACATAAAAAGTGGATATATAAAATTGAAAGTTATTTATTTATGTAGAGGAAAAAAAAATGCCTGGAGGGACTGGAACCTTCAGGGTTTATTAATATTTAAAAAAATGTAGCTTTTTGTTTCAGGCATTATGTACAAAGCAATTATTTTATGGACCAAGTTTAATGTAACTGTCAATGAATGCAGAAGTGCAATATGATACTCACCTCTCCATCACGTCACGTTTTAAACAGCTCCTAACCAGTTAGCCTGACAATCACAGCACTCCGTCCTCATCCTTTGTTGAGCTTCTTGAACCTTGCCCGGGTCCTTTCCTGGCCCCCCGTCCGTCGCCATTGTACGGATCCAACACGGAGAAGCAATTGTAGAGCAGAACCTTTATTGCTGCAATAATCCCACGGGAGGTGGGTGTAGTTACCAGGAAATAATGCCAATAAGTTTTTCTTCACCGACTCAGTCCATCCCCGTCTCCATCACTCAATCCTCAGCCGCCCCCATCTGGCACTCATCCCTCTGAAGCAAAGATCAACGTGTTACTCACTCACAGAACAATAGCAATAGTTCAACTCTGTGTTTATAACCTGTTTGTTCTGAGCTGTTTTGGAGAGCAATGCATGTGACCCGATGCCTTTCCACGTGTACGGAAGAGGATCCCTTTGGACGCGGTGAGGGGAAGATGAATGTATATTCCATCCTTACTTAGAGGGGCATTGTCAGGTTCAAGACCTAATTTATCCTTGTTCCGAGTAACTTGTTTGCTTTGAAAGCAGAGAATGGGAAGTTTCTTGTCCTCCTCCCTCGGCCGTTGTCCGGGCAGCCCTCGGTGACAGCCCACGTCCTGTTCTGCACATCAGCACAACACAGCCTCGGGCTTTGRGGTTGCTTTTCCGTTTCCATGGGAATCAAACTCTGCTGCGGAGCTCAGATTTTTTACAAAAAGCAGCTTTTTATATTACTGCACCCTTAGGCCAGACTTTCTACCTGACGCTGTCCCTTTAAAGTCTTTTAGAGGAGCCCGTGCATTCCCTCCGAGTCGTTTTCCCGGGTTTGCTCAGATCACTCAGTCAGGTGAGGCGAAATCCTAATACCAAAAACCGTTTACAGAGTCGGAGGCGCGAGCTGAGAGCAGACATCAGCCAAAGGGTCACCACCACSCTCCCACCCGGCCAGCAGCCGCCGTGCTTGCTGTAGCAGTCCCTTCTTCAGGTATCGCCACTGTTTGCTGCATTTCCTATTAGTTCTAGAAGCCTTACGGTCCCCTCCCTCTGCCTGTTGATACCCTCGACTGTCAATTTTATATTCCAACGATGTTAGTTTTATTTATAAAAAAAAAAATTTGCTCTAGGGGTACCAGCTGTGTGTGGGGAACCACCGGAGGGGATGCCCGAGGGCGCCGGGTACGCCCCGTGTGTGCAGTGCCGTGCCGATGACTCGCTTGTGTGTGGCAAACCTTCTGTACAACTTCCTTCTCCTCCTTGCTGTTAGTGCATCGTTCCAATGCCTGGTGTGCTTTGTGTACAGTATCATTGTGAGTTACACAGATTAAAGAAATGGGAAGGCTCTTTTCTGTCTGCTTTTTTTTGGGTGGGGAGGAAACTCTAGAAACAGACAAGTCATAAAACGTGAGCAGGTGCCAGTTTAATGGGGTTACAGAGATGTAACAGAACGTGGAAATTCTCGGTGGAGATCACTCCTGCTGGACCCATTTGTCCTTTAACCCATTTGTCCTTTTCTTTTTTTAYAGTTTGTAGATTTATGGATTTTCCAGCAAGGGAAAAGGTTGCTGTGTTTGCTCCAGAGCAGCCCTGGGCCCTGAGGAGCCCGGAGCCCCCTCSCTGCCCGGGGCCCGTGCTGTGGGGAAGGGACACGAGTTGCATGCAGGAACAGAGTGAGGCAAAGCCACCCCTCCACAAAGCACAYCTGCACCAAGGCCAGTGCAGCTGCCAGGTCAGTGCTCCCCATCCAAGGAGGTGAAGCTGCAGGAAGGTGGGAGAGGCCCTGGGGCACAGTGGAGGGTGGCACCCAGGGGTGCAGAGCAGAACAGAGCCACAGAGCACCACAGTCACTCCTGAGCAGGGTCAGTGAGAGCAAAGGGCCACATCCAGCAAGGAAAGGGCCATGGGCAGCCAGCTCTGTCACCCTGGTACACACCCTGTCCTGCCCACAGCATTGGCTCCTGCTCCCCACAGTCCTTGGAGCCTGTCCCCTGGGTGCTGCTGAGCTCCTCCAGCCCCAAAGGAGTGCTGGGGCAAACAGGGCTCAGGTACATTACAGCCACACTGGCCTCAGCTGGGACAGGCAGGGGAGAAGCTGTTTACTGGGAGATGAACCACAAAGTCACTCTCCTTCCCGGTCAGTAACTTACAGAGCGGCTGGAAAGGGCCCTGGGAACATCCTGACACGGTGCTGTCCGTGTGCTTCAGAGGCAGAGGATCCCCCCGGGCTGGCAGGRGCAGCAGGAGAGGCTCCTGGTCTGGCTGCTGCCTGTCCTCAYTGCAGCATTCCTGTCCTCACCTGGAAGGCCAGCCCGTCCCCACGCGTGGCTTGCTGCAAGGGAGACACAGCACTCACAGCATTCCCTGCCCAGGGGCTCCAAAGGTGCTGCCAGGGCTCAGCTCATCCCCAGGGTGCAAACACAACCCCTTTGGGTGCAGCAGCTGCCTGGCTGTGCCCACCCACCCCCCCTGCAGCTCATGCTGGGGGCCARTTCCCACTACCTTGTTTATCTCCTTGTGTCTCTCCTTGCTGACGATTTCTTCTAGGACTTCTCCGTCCCCTTTAATGAGCCTGGAAGACAAGCAAAGGCCCAGGAGCTGTGAGGGTACTGCCACAATCCTGCAGCTGCAGAAGGGGCTGACTCCCACTCCAAGGGCACCTGCTGTGCTCCCCCAAACCAGGACCAGGCTTTGCACCTCTAGGCAAGGCCAGTGCTGACCTACCCTGACTTTGTATTTTGTGCTCAAACAGCACAGCAGGCTTTGCCATTGCTCCCGTGGGATTAATGTCACCACACTGCAGCAAGGACAGGAGTGCTCCCCTGGGCACTGAGGGCCAGCTGGCCCTGCCCCAGGCTCTGGGCACTGCCTGCTGTGTGCAGTCAGCCACACTGGCACCAGAGGACACTGTTAATAAAAGCATCTCCCAAGTCACCCTACAACAGTGCCCCAACCCTTGCAAAACCTCTTCCTTTTTTTAGAGGGTTCAGGTGTGGCTGCCCCAGGAAACTGCAAAACTGTTCAGGAGCAGGAGCCAGTTTGGGCCTGAAATGCAGCCAGGCTGGGGAGCATCTTGCTGAGCAAATTCCAAGCAGTGTTGGAGGCGGCTCACACCTCCATACATGAACAGAAATTTAATTGTCTTCATTTCATGGCTTACAGGGAACCGACCTTTGTTCCACACCTCCCTGAGCCCTGCAGGCTGCCTTCTATTTTAAGACTGGACTTGTCATAGCCAATTCTCTTCAGCATGACGTTTCCTGCTTGCTGAAAAGATGCAGTTTATTAAAAACTGGGTCATTTCTATTTGGCAGCTAAATGAACTCGGGTTTGATTGCTGTCTGTAACCCCACAGGGCACACTCGCCTCCTCATTCCCACCAGGCAGCACCAGGGCCCAGGGCTTTGGAGCTGAAAGGTAAGTGGATGCAGAAGTGGGATGGTGGGACACGCCCCAGTGTCCCTTGTGGGGAACTCCAGCACAATTCAATCATTTTCTGCTGAATTATCTTTCTGGGTAGTTCACACCAGGTCTGACAAAGGAGACCTGTGAGGGGTCAGCTCAGGCCTTTGAAGGGCACCTGGGTCCAGGTGTGGTGCTGCAGTGCCATGGACAGGCATCCTCCAGGCCTCCAGCCCACTCAGCATGGATGGGAATGGACAACCCCCCTCCCTTTTCCCCAGGGATCATACCTGGTTCTCCCCGTTTCGGGATCCACCACTCTCCTTATGACACTCTGCCTGGCGTCCCACTCCTCCTTTGTCATTGGCTTCATGGCCTGGATCCGGGATTTCTGTTCATCTGTCAGAGCTGGAATGGGGTCAGTCAGAGCTGTGCTGCTGGGGCTGGCTCCAGGACAGGGCACAGCACCACAGACCATTCCACACCCAATCCCAGGCAGTGCTTGGGGTTCAGGGATGAACCACGCAAAGGAAGGGACACTTCACGTCCCAAAGCCAGCCCAGCTGTGCCAGGATGTTACTGCTGACTGTGTCCTTCCATTGCTCCACTCACACCTACAAACTACATCCCAACACTCCACCAAGGAATCCCTGAGTGTGGCTCAAAGGTGGAGCCTGGGGCTCCTCCCTGTGCCTGGCCCTGCTTCCCTCAGACACCTCATGTGGAAAGGAACCTGCACAACCCCTGTGCAGGGGCTCCAGCAGGAGGGAAGGAGCATCATTACCTGGCCCAGAGTCCACTGCTGATTCCTTCTGCCACTGCTCYAGTGAGGGACCAGGCACCTCTTCTCCTTTGGCTTTCTCCTCCTTAACCTTCTCCTTTGCCTTCTTTTTTGATTTCTTCTTTGTTTTTTTCYTCTTCTTCTTCCTCTTCTTTTTGTCTTTCTGTTTCACTCGCCTTTTTTTGCTGTCTTGACTCTTCTTTGTTTTGGAGTCACTGTCACTGGAGTCATCAGAAGAGGAGCTGGAGGAAGATGAGGAAGAGCTGGTGGATGAGGATGTCCCTGAGGAAGAGGTACTGGCCTTCCTCTTCTTTTTGTCCTTTCCTTCCTTCTTCTTTTCTGCAATACACAAGAAGAGGGTGAGTGGAGCAGCCCTGGTCCTGCAGCAGCAGAGATACTGGTTCTCCTCCTTTCAGAGGTTTCTTTCCTCTCTGTGCCCACCTTTAAGCTGGGACCGTGCGGTGCCAGGGGCAAGGTCAGCACAGGGAGGGGCTGAGGGCTCTGCCCGTGTCAGAATGAGACCAAAGCTGGCACCAAGTGCAGGACACAGTGACAGACACCCGTGGAGCTAAAAACAGGGACCCTCCTGTCCCCCCTGAGCCCTCTGTGTGCACCTGCCCCAGGGAAATGTGGTGAAAGTGCTGGGTCAGGGGCCTTCCCCACCTTCCCGGGCTGCTGCCGAGCCTGACTTGTGCCCATGAGAACTGGAGATCCTCTTCCTTGGTGGAGAGCTGCTGCCCCGCTGCGAGTCCTTGCTGCTCTTCCTCCTTTTCTTCTCCTTCCTCTCCTGCCTGCTCCGAGAATCGCTCCTGCTCCTGCTCCTGCTCCGMGAGCGCTTCCGTGAGCGGCTGTGGGCCATGGCAGCTCCTGGAGGGAAGAGTGACATCAGAGCCATGGGGGGAACAATCCCCAAAACCTGCAGTCCTGGAGGAAATCCTATGAAATCCTTCCTGCTCATCCAGCCCCACCAGAGCGATGGGTTGGGGGCACCCATCACAGAGAGATGGAGATTCCCTGAGCAGGGAATGGCACAGCAGGYACCCCACACCTGCCTCAGACAACTGTCCCCAAGCAGGTTTTCCACCAGGAAAGCCTTCCACCAGGTTTTCCCTGCACCTCTGCTGTTTGTCCCTGGAGAATCGGGCTGATCCCCCCTGAGGCTGTGCCCACGGTCACCCCAGAGCCCTCGGGAGGACACTGCACTGCAGCTGGAACAGGCACGGTGTGATGGATCCTGTGGCCACAGCCAGAACAGAACGTCCTCCCCGAGCCCAACACCGAGTCAATCACCCGYTCTTTAAAATGCTGGGAGCAGGCACCAGCCAAGGGGAATAATGAATTTTTAATATTCCAATTTACTCTTAGAAAACAGATGATGCAGTGAGCTGGCACCCCCGTCCATCAGCCCCAGGGACACCAGCAGCTCCAGACCCGAGCCTGTGTGATCCATGCTCTCATTAATTTCAAAAACAAACTGGGACCGGGGGCAGAGCAGGATCTCTTTCTTTGAGAACCTYTTTCTCACAGCCACCTTCCAACTACCACATTTAATTAATTGTTTGTTTACCACCTCCACATTCCCAGGCAGCAATTCGGATTCGCTCCCAAATGAATCAGAGCTTTGACTGATATTCATAGGAAAATTTCAATAAAAAAATCCTCCAAAACAACCACAGCCATTAAGGGCACCAGGGATGTTTCAGAGGATGAGCCCTCCATGGACAGACCCAGCAGCTGCTCCTCACACCAGGGCCTTGCTGGGGACGGTGTTTGGGGCTCAGATCTTTCCGTTGTGGCAGCAGGACCGACTGTCACACGAGCCCAGCAGCAGGATCCATGGATGTGGAGCTGGGCTCAGCCAGCAGCATCCCCGTGACGAATCCCAAATCCGTCACAGCAGCATCCCGGGCTGGCAGTGCTCCAAGCCGGGCCCTCACCTTCACCTTCACCGGGCTGGAGACACAGCGGCTCCTCCTGCGCTGCCCTCGGTCCGAGCCGCTCTGCCCCGCGCAGCTGAGGGGTCTGCCSTGCCCTCACGCTCCAGCGAGACGAGCTGGCCCTTTAAGAGCTCTGCACGGGGTGCGCTGGCCCTTTAAGAACCCACGCAAGGTGCGCTGGCCCTTTAAGCGCTCAGTTTGAGGCGTGCTGGCCCTTTAAGAGCGCAGCGCTCTATCAGCCCCCCCGGCCCCGTGTGCCCCTCAGAGCACGAACCCCCCGTTCTCCGGTGCGCTCAGCCGGCCCGGCCCCGCCGCAGAGGAGGCAGCGGAGGGAGGGAGGGAGGAAGGAGGGATGGGACTCACCGGGCCGGGCCGGTCCCGCCGCCCCGAGCGGGGCTCCCGCCGCCCGGGCCGCGCTGGCCGCCTCCCGCCTCCGTTCCCCCCGCGCGGGGCCGGCCGGCAGCCGGGCCGCGCTCTTTGGTTCCGGGCCCCGCCTGTGCCCGCCTGTAATTCAATCTTTTGGGGTGAATTCGGGCGGGTTGGGAGCGCTCACGTTCGCTGAAGAACCAGCTGGAGGCTTCGAGGTTGCATGTTTAAGAGCKGCTCCTAGAACAGATACAACCGCCCGTTTTCCTTTGCCTGGTGTAATTTTAATGAGCTTTGCTAATGAGCATCCCATCAGCACCCTGTGCTAACAGCATTGCCAGCCAAAAATCCAGCGATCTGCTGGGAGAGCCTCAATAAACACCTCTGGTGCGAGCTGCACCCGCTCCCGTTCAGCCTTCCACAGTTACTGATGTGATAACCCATCCGCTGTAGTTACTGCACTGAACAGATCAATGGAAAAGCCCCTTATAAAGGCCCCTCGATCTCATTTGTGTCATTCAGCATCAACAAGCTCTTCCCATKTTCCTGGAAGAGGACAGGAGGGCCTAAGAACAGCAGAGAAATGGTTTATTGTCCCATTCTTTCCCATTTACAGTGGGACCTGGGACGCTGCTGTTGGCAGARAGGCCAAGGAGCTTTGGGTGTTTTCCCTGTACACCTGAAAATATTCACAGAGCCCCTGCAGTGARTCAGTGCTGGGGCTTTCTGTGTCTTACAGAGTCCTCCAGCCCCAGTGGGAGCCCTCACGAGCTGAGTTCCAGCTCTTCCAGCTGGAAACCTGCCAGGACTGGCTTTGTATCCCTCCTCAAGGTGAGAGCTGCTTCTTGCAGGGCTGGTGCATCCATCRGAGCCTGTGAGAGCAGTCAGCAAGGAGCTTTGGGGAAATGGGGCTGCCCCAGCGGCTACCCCAAGGCACAGAGATTCACAGTTTGGGGCGGCTCCTCCCCCAGGGGCTCYGTGAACCCATCCCCAAATCCCTCTGCTTCCACCAGCTCGGGTTTCCTGTCGCACATGGGGCAGCGCTGGTTTCTGACAGCCGAGGATCTCATCCACACGATGAGGTTCCAGCGCTCCCCGGAGGCGATGGGAAGGGCCCCGTGGATCTGCCCTCCTCGGTGCAGCAAACCCTGGGCTCCCACGTGCTCCACCTCGATATATTTTGGCACAGGGCTGGGATCCTGGAACACAGCGAGGGGGATTCGGTGTCACAGCACAGAGCCCCTCAAAAAGCTGCAGTTTCCCCAAAGGGAACGACACAAAGAGGGCAAACTGCACCTCATTCCCAGTGCCGAGTTCAGAGGCAATTTAAAGAGATCCAATCAAAAAAACCCCATGTTTTCACCCGTGCAAGGGAGCTTTTACCCTCTTTGCCCTAGAAACAGGTGCTGGAGGTTTGGGTGTAAATCTCAGCACCTCCCTGCTCTCTGTGGAAGCTGTGGAAAGGGGGGCTGATTGGTTTCACCCCAGTTTCTACTCTGCAGCTGCCTCTGTGCTCTCTTTGCAACCTCAGTGTTGTTATTGAATATTGGAATATTGCAGCAGAAAAGGCTCCTGTCTGACCAAGACATGTGAAAAATGGGGAAAGGGACAGGTTTGACTGTCAGAAATGAACAATGGTATTTTAGAACACAGAAGGGAGAGTGGGGTGTGCTCAGTACCTGGTTGAAATCCCCAAAGTACAAGTTGCCTTCGGTGAATTCCTTTCCCAGGGAAACGTTCAAGGTGACTTCAGCGTTGTCRTAGTGCGAGCTCAGGTCCAGGTCCTGGTGCAGGGAGTACTTGACCACGAAGGCTTTGTGGCTGTCCAGGCAGGCCCCGCCCAGCTCCGGGTACAGCAGGGCTGTGATGGGCYGCAGGCAGCGCTCCCGCAGCGGCGTCACCAGAGCCTCGTCCATCCCCAGCTCGTTCAGCAAAACCTGGCCCAGGACAGCGGGGAGGAACTGCTGATACAGCTGCTGCTGCTGCTGCCCTCCCCCTGCCCTGCTGCTGCCTCAGATCGAGGACTTTGGAGCAAAGCTCCAGCTAAGGGAAAAGGGAAGAGGATCAAGGTGGAAAGGGATGGGGGAAATACAGAGTAAGATCAAAAGATGAGTGTTCTTTAAAAACCGACTCAATTTAAATTTGTATTGCTTGAGCACAAGRTGCTCTTTGCTCTGAGATACCAACTCCTCTCCCCTTTCCCTGTGTTCCCGTTTTGTTTTGTCCAGGTAACATCCCCTCAACCCTCCCGCTCCAAGGGGGCACTGAACTCAAACTGTGTAAAATCAGAGGCACTTTGGAACTGGAGCAGTGAGAAGTGAGGAGGTGAACACAGGGAACCTCCCCCTAAAGAAGCACCAGAGACAAGTCCTACCCCATAGTTGTTCATGGTGTTGGGYCTGCCTTTAGGCATGTCCGACTGCTCAAAGTTCTCCAGCTCATCCACAAAGRTCTGGCAGAACTCCTCTGTGAACACTGGGAGTCGATAGATCCTCTTATCTGCCAGAAGGGAGACAGCATTGGCTGGGAGAAATCCCATTATCCCAAACCGACAGTGCTGGTGTCAGTGAGAGCACAGCATCCACAGGCTCCACCTTGTGCTCAGGCTGCTCACAGGGCTGAGCCACTCCCTGGGATCAGCTCTGGGATGGATTTGTTGTTTTTTATGCTGGCCCCTGGTCTCCAGAGCAGAAGGCTGKCTGGAACTGGTGCCTTGGACAAATCCAGGAGCTCTGCACACAGACATTGGTCTCTGTTTTTGCCTTGGGAAAAGAAGGCAACTCTGCCTCTTCCCTTCTACATTTTATCAGCATTTCTGGAAGCSAGAAAGCTTCACAGCTGCCTCCAGGGAAGCTTAAAACCCAGATCTCTTTTACAAAGATTGAAATCGAGACTGAAGCTAATTTCAGCCCAGACTAACCAGCAGGGACTGTCTGCAACGGCAAAGCACCTGGGGAGGGAAAATCGAGCTCCCTGGGCTGCCAATATTCCTTCAGAGGCTCCCTGGTGAGGTGTGGTACAATCAAAACCCCAGCCCTGCTGCAGCTGGGGCCTCTGGTGAGGCATCAGCACAGTGGGATGGAAAAACAGAAAACAGATCCAGAGCAGAGCTGCTGCCTCTGCAGAGACCCTCCTCAGGCAGGGAATTACATCCTGTTCACCTCAGCTTGTGCCACATCAGAGCTGTTCCACACAGGGTTTGGGAACAGCTGTCACCAGGGAGATCAGTGGGGCTGAGGTGGTGTTTTCTTTACCTGAGAAGGACTCGAGGTAGTGCAGGAGGCCCTGGAGATCAGCACCCGGCGATGAGCAGAACCTCACGATCTCCAGAAACCCTGGGGCCAGGAAGGAATCCTGGAGTCAAGATGGGGAGAACACACAGAAACACAGTCAGCCTGCACAGCCCAGGGGAGCCACAGGGAAATGCACAATCCTTAGGGAGCAAGGCTGAGTCACACCTGGGATAATTCCATGGAAATGCAGAATGTCACCCRTGTTTTACCTGGTGCTTGCTCCAGATCATGGTTTTCTAGGAGCAACTGGCCAGATTTATTACAGGCATGTGGGAGAGAGCCTTTCCTGGCTGTAACACCAGGAATCTTGCCTGGAGAACACACTGTGCTGTCTGTTTTTCAAGTTTTAAATTCAGTTTTCACACACTACAGGGGTTTTAATGCAGTGCAGATTTAGCACTGTGCAATCCCAAGGAGAGGGGAAAATAAGCTGCAAAAATAAACCCTTAGGTAAATTTTTTTTGGCAAAAGAGATTCCAAACCTTCTGTGTACCTGCAGAGTGTACACCTCTGGGTGTTTTGGTTTGTAGCACCTGGAGATGATGGCTCTGCGTTCCGCTGACTGATGGATCAACTCTTTTCTCCTCTGCACTTCTGCCTCAATCTGCAGGTGAACAACAGAGCACATGGTCAGAAACCAAAAGGGCTCACCAAAACAGTTCCAGGGATCTGCTTATTGTTTTGAACCAGTGAATTTTTGTTTTGGGGCACCTCTGGGAGAYAGAGTTTKCTTTTTTTCTGTGGKCWAGACAAGTCCAGTAAAAAGCTGAAAARYCAAATGGCTGAGAGGAGTTGGAGAMCTGTTCTTTTTACAGGTGGCTCAAAAAGTACCTGAGGACTTTCTGTGGCAGTGTCAAGTGGAGCTKTGAGGTTTCAGCCCTTTCAGGCATTCTGACACCTCTTGAATCCAGGCTGTGTTCTGACAATAGAAGCTTTGTCCAAAATAAAGACATTTTCTGGGAGAGAGACAAGTGCTGTCATGAAGGGATTACTGCTGAGTGTGGTGGAGACAGGCTGAGCTGCCCTCTCAGAGCAGGCAGCTGTTTCAGCAGCTGATTCAGGCAGCTCTTCCCATTTAATTCCTTCCCATGAGATTAATTTATACCTGTGCTCACTGCAGAGTGAGCAACCATTCCCTGGGACCATTCATTCCCCTTCCCTCAGTTTCAGGCCCTGAACTTCTTGGGAACTCAGCAGACAAATCAAACATTTTTCTGATTCCTTCTTCTCCTCCCTCCCAGCCCAAGGTCCCTAGGCCCTGGGCCACTGGCAGGGAGATGGAACCCAGCACTGCCTACAAAATCCTACAAATCCTAAGTGGGAAACTGGGACTGGAATTGCTGCTGGACAGTGAGAGCCGTGAGCCCCAAAGCCAGGGATATCCTCTGCCATCAGCATCCTCTGAGCACTGAGGGACTCCTGGGCTTTTATATGATTTATTAGTTTACTTTATGATGTTTATATTGATACAACAAACCTTGTATGAAGATCTGACCAGACCTGCAGAGAGCCCAGGTGATTAAAAAGTGGTTAGGATCTAGATGATTATAAATTACAACTAAAGTCAGAATCCAGGAATCCTAAGTGAAGTTGTTCTATAAATTCTGCATTACACTGCTCGTTGTGCTCCACTGATTCTGCCTGGGGCAATCCTGTGCTGTTCCACTCACAAATTCTGTGCTGTGTGAATCATAATACCCTGTTAATAAAGCTTCAATTACAAGGATGATTTACAGCCATCATCATTCTGCCAAGAATTCCTAAAGGAACCCGTCTGTCCCCTTGGTGTCAGGTGACATTGGAGCTGGCTGTGTGACTGATCCCTATCCCTGTCCCCTGGAAAGAAGCAGCGATTCCTTGATAAAGTGTGAACCTCTGTAGGATCCCATCTCGGGGATGGGATTGTTTTAAAACAATTGGCACAAGAAGGGACAAGGAGTGAGAAACCAGGGCAGCGGGAGCGGAAAGAATCCAAGGAGGGAGCGGCTCAGAGGCCGCTTGGATAAGGGCGGAATGACAGCGATTAATTGCAGGGTGTTGGCTGTATAAACACCGCGCTGATGCCGCCCGCGGGGAATTCTCCGGACTGTGCCCAGCACCGGGCTCACAGCAAATCCCAAACTCCCTGTGAGACCGAGCCCCGGGCGTGGGGATGGATCCCTGAGCAGGGCCAGGGCTCCCATCTGCTCCCCTCAGGATCGGGAATGGCTCTCTGGGAGGAGAGGCTGCGAGAGTTGGGATTGTTCAGCCATGGGGTGACCCAACTGCGGCCTGGCAGGGCCTGAAGGGACAAGAAAAGATGGAAATTCTTTACAGGGGATAAAGTGACAGGACGGAGGAATGGCTTCACCCTGACAGAGGGCAGAGTTAGGGATTTTGGGGAGGAATTCCTCCCTGTGAGGGTGGGAGGCCCACAGAGAAGCTGTGGCTGCCCCTGGATCCCTGAGAGTGTCCAAGGCCGGCTTGGACAGGGCTTGGAGCAGCCTGGGATAAGGGATAAGTGTCCCTGTCAGTTTTAAGGTCCCTTCCAGCCCAAATCCTGGTGTCCCGCAGTACCCCGAGCGATTCCCCGGTATCTGTGAGGGGTCCGGTCTCTCACCTCCCTCAGCACCTCCTGGAACTGCTCCTCGCTCCGACACCCGCGCTCCCGCAGCGCCTGCAACACACGGGCCCGTCAGCGCCACAGCGGCTCGCTGCCCCGGCCCCCCCCAGCCCCGCCGTACCCGGCCGTGGTCCCGGCGGAGCTGCGGCTCGTCCCGGTACCGAACGTGGAGCCCGAACCGCGCCACGAAGATGTTGTCGGTGAAAAAGCAGGCGCAGCCCCGGAACGGCCCGCCCGCGGACATGTTTCCTGCCGGCGAACGCGCCTCGGTCCGGTTCTCAAAGGGCTCCGCTTCCGTCCTCTTGAGGGCGCATCGGCAAATTCCGAACCGGGGCAAAAACGGAAAGCGGCGGAATTTGCCCGTTCTGCCCGGTTTTAAGATTCTTGTTTTTGTCATTCCGTGACGTCACCGCGGCCCGGTCCCGCAGTGACGCCGCTGCCCCTCACGGGCGGGCCGGGTGTGCTCGGAGCGGCAGCAGCCGCCGAGGGTTATTTGCAGACGCTCCCTGAGATTCCCCCCCACACACCCCGCCCTTGGCGGGGGCGCGCACGGGCGGCGGGGGCGCGCTCGGGGACGCGCAGCGAGCGGGGTCAGCGCGGCCCCGGCCCGGCCCGGCCATGGACGCGGCGCTGCCCGAGGCCGAGCGGGAGGTGGTGGTGGCGGCCGAGCCCTGCGGCCACGGCAGCAAGTTCGAGGATATCTACCGGCTGCTGGCCGAGGGCTGCTTCCCGCCCAGCTTCTGCTCCATCAAGAGRAAGAACCTCAAGCGCTACGCCCAGAAGTTCATCGTGGACGGTGGGGAACCGGGGGTGTGAGGGGCTGCTGCCCCGCCGGGCCCGGGGGCGGCTTGTGGGGGGAACCCGGCAAAACGGGATGTGCCGGACCCTCGGTTTGGGGAGGGGATGCGGCTTTTCGGCAGCACCATCGCTGCTCTGCCGGGCCTGTGCCTTGGCATCCCTTTAGGGACACCCAGTGGGGATCGTGGCATCCCGAGGTAGCACCGTGGCTGTCCCATGGGGGATTTCACACAGTCCCGGGCTCAGGAAAGCTCCCTGGGCGTGCGTGGGGGCCATTCCCATTTAGCGGCTTCTCCAGGGGCAGCAGCAGCTCTCAGAGCTGTTTCCCTCTGTGGAAAATGCTCCTTTTTCTAGAGCTGTGAGTGGGTGGTGTTGTGGACAAACCTCTGGCATCCGCAGGCGGCTGCCTCTACTACGTGGGACCCAAGAAGGAGGAGAAGCGCGAGGTGATCGTGGATCCCGAGCGGAGGCGTCAGGTCTTCCTGGAAAGCCATTTCACCGAAATCGGGAACCACCTGGGCCAGAAAAAGACCGTGCACCGGATCCAGAGCCGGTACTACTGGCTGGGCATCGTGAAGGATGTTGTGGACTGGGTAAGTGCAGAGCAGTGACCGTGTCGATGACACCGGTGCTGGCAGCAGTCCCGAGGCCGCAGCCAGAAGAGCCCTGGTGCAGGGATGATGTCATTCCTGGTGCCTGTGCTGGGAAGCCACACACTTAAGTCACTGTGCAGGTGAATCTTGGAACGCCCCGAGGCAGCTGGATGCATTGGATGCCTTCCCCTGAGTGTCAGGAAGCCTCGTTGGCCTCCTCGTGCAGGGCAGTTTTGGCCAGCATGAGAATGTGGGATTGCTCCAGACAACTTGCTGAGTCTAGCTTTGGGCAGTCTGGATTCTTTCCAGAGCTGCCCAGTTCTCTAAACTGTGCAAGAGGATCTTGGTGTCTCCTCAGCTGCTTTGCCTTGCCTGTTTCATTGCTGGCAGTTCCCTGCAGCAGGACTCTGTAGCGGTGTGGTTTAAGGAGTGTACTTGCATTGCATGGTCTGAGCTCCTCCAACATCCCAGGGCAGAGGATTTCTCTAACCAGCAATAGGAGGTTAAAATACAATAAATATTTGCCTGGAAACAGGGTGAGAAATAACCTAGCTGTAGGCCATGTTGAGAAAGTTGGTTATTGTGTCAGAGAAAGCTGCCAGGTGAGCGTTGTGAAAGGTGAGGTGTGTCAGCCTGTTGTGTTTTGCCCTCTTTTTCTTGCACCTYGTTATTCTTATTGGGTGGAAGCAAACTGCTCAGCCCTGCTGTCTGTCTCACCCCTCCACAACCTGTGCAGTGTGAGTCTGACAGGATCCGTCAGCACGTTYCCAATCCTTTGATCCTTTCTCTCTCCAGATCAAGATGTGTGAAACGTGCCAGAACGCAGAGCACAACAAGAACGTGACCCGGAAAGCCAGGCCYGTCAGGGTGGAATCTCCCTGGGAAGTGCTGGGATTAGACATCCACGGTGAGTGTCTCAAGTGGCTCTCGGGGCTCCTCCCTGCCGGCCGGGAGCGTGGCAGACCTGCTGCCACACGCWCGGGGTGAAAGCTGCCGGTGCCTCTGAGGAGGTGCCAAGGAGGCCACAGCAGCCGCCCAGGGTGCAACCTGATCCCTGTGCTTGGCTCAGCTCCCTTTCCACACACAATGGGAGCTGTGGGCGTGCCTTCCTGCCCAGAACTAGAGCTCTGATGGGTGTATTTTTTGCTGACAAAGGTCACCCAAAATGTTCTGGCTAAATGACATTGCAGACGAGAGTCGTGGTCACTTTTGCAGTGACTGGGTTTTTGACTTTCCCTATTTGGGGGTTATGACGGCATCACATTGATTTTTTTTTTTTCTATGGCTGTTGTTTACTCAGGGCCTTTTCCCGAGACGAGCCAGAGCAACACGCACRTCCTGCTTGTGACTGACTACTTCACTAAATGGGTGGAGGCTGTTCCTCTGCAGAAGAAGGATCCCTTCTCTGTGGCTAAAGCCCTGGCTACCCTTTTTTACAGGTRGGCACCTCTGCTGCTGGTTATATTGCACCTCTGCAGTGCGATGGGGAGTGCTGGGGTGTCCTCAAGGTGTTTCCCTACAAGAGCAGGAACTCTCCCTTCTACAGGAGAGACCATGCAGTGCCTCTCAGTTGCTCTTTACAAAGTCCTTGGGAAGAGCCTGTTATCCTCTTGTTATGAGCAGAGAAGAAATAGGCAGAAATGGTTCTCTGAGAGCCCGAGGCCAGGGGAGCTGTGTCCCAGTTCTCTGCAGAAGCTTTAAAGCCATTCCCAGATTTCTCCTAGAAAGTGTTCATTTGCATCCACGCGGCCCGTGTCGCCATGTGACATTGTCCTTGTGGGAAACACGTGTGGYCAGTAGAGATTTGAATTCAGAGCAAGAAGCTTCTCTTGTTTCTCCTGCTGCCTCATCATTCAAAAGCAAACAGGCTTGGCTGGTTTGGAGCAGTTGGCCCAGCAGACCTCAGACCTCTCTCTGCTCTTGGGGAGGTGAGGTCACTGCAGCCTCRTTGGCACCAGCCCCASTGCAGGGTCCTGTCCCCTTCYTGTCCCATTTGTCCCATAAARATGAAGCTCCTYGRACTCTRCCTCAGATGATGAARTAAAACCARCTGTGTGTCCTCTTCTTGTCCAGGTTTGGTGCATCCAAGAACATTTACACCAGTCAGAGCTGGGACTTCTGTGAGGAGGTAGGTCTGGTGCTGGGGGGTTTGGGGCGAAGCAGTGTGACCTTCAGCAGGATTTTGGGCARAGCTGTGATGTGCTGTGTAGCAGGGGTGAGGAGCTGATGCTGCCTTCTCCCTGCCCGAGCCCTGCTGGGAGTGGGAGCTGATTTGCCAGTGCTTTCACCTGGGCAGGGATTTAAAGTTTTGGTTCAGTGATGCAAGTCCTCTGTGCTCAGAGAGAGAGACCATGTGCATGAAATCCTGCCCTACCCTGGCATTAACCAGCTTCCCAGCTCTGTGCAAAGCTTCAAGCACGGGAGCAGTTGTTGCAAAACATTTTCCCAGKCTCTGCCTTTTCTGGGGAGCGTTTTCTGCTCCTCAGCCTCTCCTGGCAYGGGGGGCACAGCGCTGGCCCTGCCCTGAGGCTGCTGTGGTGTTGACAGGCCRTGTTCTCCGTGTTCCTGCAGGTCAGCCGGCACCTGTGCGAGCGCTGGAACATCTCCCAGCTCCTGACCCCTGCAGACCCCACCGACCCTCCCAGCCCCGGTGACYGCAGCGCTGAGGTGCTCAGATCCTCCATCTGCAGTGTGGTGAACGAGAAGCCCAGCGAGTGGGATGCACACCTGGACCCCGTGCTCTTCGAGTTCCGCACCTCGGTCAATTCTGCCACCAAGTACAGCCCCTTCTTCCTCATGTTCAACAGATACGTGTGCCTGTCCTCAGAGGTAACTGCACACCCCAGGGAGCCTTGCAGGAGCTTTGTCACTGCTGTGCTTGCAGAGTAACAGCCGGATCTGTGCCTTGCAGGTGGATTTTGTCAAGGACTCTAAAGAGCAGGGGGCTGGTTCTGATAAGGTTGACAGCCTCCCGTCATTCACAGCCACGGTGCAGGAGCAGCAGAACGCGGTGAAGGAAATTGTAAGTCATTGTGGTGCCTTGAAATCATTTTGCAGCTAAGTCCAGGCCTGGCCTGAGAGGAGAGGTGGCAGCTCAGTGTGTGTGCCAAGGGCAGCAGGAACAGAGCTGGACCCTCTGGGGCAGCACCACGGGGACACTGGTGGTGCTGCTCCCAGATGAAATACAAGGGACTGGTTTGCCCCATCAGGCTGATGAGAGCTGTGTTCCAGCCTGMCCAGCTCCCTGCCTTGTAATCTGCATCCCAAATCAGCCAAAGAGARTCCCTYCTGAGRGACAAGAAGCCTTCAGGGAGRTGSTGTTAAACTACAGAGGTTTAAAGTMACCCTGCCCCWAAATGGGAGGATRTTTGGGCYACCATGAGGACGGGTGGCCCAGTGGGCAGGGCTCCCAGATGGGCTCCAGGAGCAAAGTCAGCATGCAGCTCCTGGCTGTCTCTGACGTGCTGGGTGACCTTGGACAGCTCATTTTGTCTCTGTTCCTSAGTTCCCTCACTTGAAAAATGACCTCAGTGTCCGCTGTGAAGTGCTTGGCRAGCTGGGTGCCAAAAAATCACAGACAAGGTTCAAGTGCTTTGTTTGCTCAGTCATTTCTTACACTCAGAGCTGTGTGGTTCTCTCTGATCTGACCTGGACTGTGGTTGTTCTTGCTGGGGAATTACAGTAGGAATATGGGACAGGRGGGAGGAGGCCTGGGAGCTGGATATGTAGGATCTGTGCCCAGCTGATCCCTTTGGCAGCTCAGGCTCACTAGCTCAGTTCCCTTTTTGTGAAATGGAGCTGCACATTGTGGTACAGGGCAGTGAGAGCTCTGTCCTGTCCCTGAGGGAACTTCTGGTGTCAGGATCACCAACTCTCCTGCATCCAGGCTGAGATTGGGGCTGTAATTAAGAGGAGGTGATAGAGCTTCCATGGGCTCTGTGGCACTCCAGCCTAGATCCCCTTCTGCCCTCTACTGATGGAGATCTGACAGCTCTGAGTGCAGCCAAGGAACTGCAATTTCTTCCTGTAAGGTCTCCTGCTACTTTGGGCTGCTGAGAACGAGGCTGGGAAGCCCCTGCTTAGTCCTTCCCTTGCCCCAGGCA